CTCTTAATATGATCACAGAAGTCACTTATGTAGAGTATGAAGAGAGTTGGTCCTACAACACTGCCTTGGGGGACACCACTGTTGACAAGTGCAGGATTTGATAGGACGCTCCCAATTTTGTAGTTAATATAATTCTTTCTGAGCTGATCTCCTTGTTGAAGATATGCTTTAAAGGGATGGAGATTTGTAAAGATGTAGGAAAGTAAGGCTCTGCAGACTCATTCAGCTGTGAGACATACAAAATGCTTTCCTCGGTTGAAAGGTTTTATACAGAGAGATTTTGAGATGTCATAGAATCTGACTTGGCATTTGTTTCATTGTTGCAGGAGAGGTATTAAGTTAATAAGCCAATAAAACAAAATAATGGGGTGAGATGCAATTAGATGAGATGCAAGAAACAACAACTGGTTAATTCCTCTAACTCAGCTGTCCTCCTTCTACACATCAAAACATCTGCCAATAATGATACTGTAGTACAGGCAGTCCTTATTCACATCCATTCATTTAGGGAGCATCTAAAGTTACAATAGCACTGAAAAAAAGTGGTTTATGACTGATTTTCACACTTACAACCATTGCCGCATCCCCATGGTCACATGATCAAAATTCAGTTGCTTGGCAACTGGCATGTATTTATAGTTGCAGTGTCCCAGGGTCATGTGATCACCTTTTGTGACTTTCCCAGCTGGCTTCTGACAAGCAAAGTTAGTGGGGGACGCCGGATTTATTTAATAACTCCACGATTCCCTTAACAACTGCAGTGATTCAATTAACTGCTGTAGAAAAATGTTGTAAAAAGGGGCATGACTCACTTAACAATTGTCTTGCTTAGCAATAGAAACGTTGGGCTTAATAATTGTGGTCGTAAATTGAGGACTACCTATACATATGTGGTGGGTCTGATTGGATTACTCTACCATATCTACACTCATTCATTCGACTCCTCTTATATCCCCTTAGATATTCTTATCTAAGTTGAGCAAAGGATTTGTTTTGTAAAAAAAAAAAAAAAATAGATTAGAGTCCTGAAGCGAGCTGAGTCACAAACAGTGCTATACTTAGAATATTTTGCTCTTCTTTATCTTTCTTTGTCTGCAGACTTTGATCCAAGAGGCTGAGCTTGATTATTTGCTTGCAGATATTTCATCACCGGACTAGGTAATATCATCTTCAAACTGGGATTCCTTAGTTCAATCCGGAACTACATATATTCTCTTCTACTGAAATTGTACATAATTTGCAATTGCTATAAGACAATGATTTCATGAAGAAAAATAAACCATTTTAACAAGCAGTACAACTATGGATTAAGTAATTAAGCTGCCTTACTCCAAGGAGACAAGTTATTATTAGGAACATGGCATTCTCCACCCAAAAATAAAAATTAGCCAAGGCATACTGGCCCTTGGTTAGGTGAATGTAGAAAAAGGTCTTTTTAAACCCAAGCTGACATCTTGAAATGTTTTTTTAAAAAAAGGATATTCAAAAGTATGAAGCACCTGAATCAGAAATGTTAGCCTGGATTGAGTCACACATTGGTAAAGTCAGCCAACATAATTTAAATATAACATTTTAAGTAACAATAACTAAATATTTAGCATTTCTCCTGTTTATTCAGGGAGTTTCTGGGAGCACATCTGCTATTTTTTCTACCTTTCTAACTTTGCATCAATCCCTTCAGATAAATCAGTTTGAAAAGATGCTAAATGGTCAGGCAAGAAGTTGAGGTTAAAATTTGCACCCCATTTTTTTTTTTACTCCCAATGTGACCCTCCATCAACTAAATGTTGCTCTTCCTTCTTCATTTTGTTCTTGCAGAATTTACACTTCATCCAACAAAATTAGAGCATTACACAGTGTTGCTTTCACTTCCCTTCAAACCTTAATTTCCACCTCCCGGGTATAGTGTTTGGTGCATATATTTTAACACTGCTCATCTCATTATTACTGGGAGTCTGATCAATCAAACACTGTCGGCTGCATGGCTGATTTAAAAAAATGCATTTAAGCATATCCCGCTCTTTCTTTCCACCAGCTTGCAGATAATAAGTGAATAGAGAAAAATGCTGAAATCAAGGGATTCCCAGAATCCTGATTTATTTTTGTTTTCCTGCCTGGATATTATTTGAATTTTGCTGCACTTCAGAATCGGCAGCGTCTTCATAATACACCTTGTTCATTGCCCGCCCCCCCAAAAAAAGTCCTCCTATCCTGAGAATGGGAAAACAGCCTTTGAGAACAGAAGGACAAGGAAGAGAAAATGGAATTATCTTCTTGATGTAATAAACAATCGAGTGGGTAGGACACCTTTCCTAGCCTAAAACCCTATAGATCAAGGGTGTCAAACTCACAGGCCAAGTGGTCATCATGTGACATATCATGACTTTCCCCCCCACCCTTTGCTAAACCAGAGGTGGATGTGGCCACATGACACATCAGATCTACAGGCCGTGAGTTTGACAGCCCTGCTGTAGATGTACAGATAATCCTCAATCTACAACCATGTTTAGCGACCATCAAAAGTTATAGCAGCACAGAAAAAAGTGACTTATTGTTCTGACCCAGCCTTAGCAGAAGCAAGAAACAGACTCCTTGTCACAAAAAAAAAACCCCTCTTTATTTCCCTCTTGTGAATGAATTCCATTCACCCACCAAAAAGTCCAGGCAATAGTCCTTCAAAGAGTTAACAGCAGCAACAGACCTTATCAGTTCCTTGCAATAATTGCAAGACTGTGAGTTCCCAGCTGAAAGGCTGCAAATTAAGTTCTAGCAAGCAGTCTCTCTGTGGCACGAAACACAATGAGCAAAATCTTCAGAAACACGAACTGTTGTCTCCTATGACAACCACTCCCCTTTCCTTCTATTTATTTCCCAGCCAGGGAGGTGCCATTCATCATCAATGTCAGTGGTGGGATTCAATTTTTTTTTACTACCGGTTCTGTGGGCGTGGCTTGGTGGGCGTGGCAGGGGAAGGATACTGTCTAATCTCCAGTCAGAGGTGGGATTTTCCGGTTCTCTGAACTACTCAAAATTTCTGCTACCGGTTCTCCAGAACTGCTCAGAACCTGCTGAATACCACCTTTGGTCCACGTGTTCTTTGCTTCCCGAGTCAACTCCTTGACCTCAGTTGTTCCCCTCTCCTAACAGCTCTGCACTTACGTGCATCTGGAACAGGACCCAGCTGTTCTTCCTCCTCACTCATATCAGCCTCCAAAGGCAGCTGCCTCTCCAGTGGCTGGGAAATGGATGACCTTGGCTCTATCTCTGCATCTGACATAAAGCATCCATCAGAGCCTTCCCCAGACTCCAGAACTGGCCCAAGTTCCTTCCCAACCTCCCCATCATCCAATTCTGCCTCCTGTTCTGCAGGCAGCTGGTGGGCCACAACACTTACGACCAGTCTTCATATTTATGACCATCACGCCATTCCCACAGTCATGTGATCAAATGTGACTGGGCAGAGTTGGGTGCTTGGCATCCAACATTTATGATAGTTACAGCACCCTGGAGTCATGTGATCACCATTTGTGACTTTCCCAGCCAATTTTCAACACCAAAGTCAATGGGGAAAACTGGCCTTGCTTAACCACGTGCTTCACTTAACTAGTGATTCACTTAACAACCATGGCAAAAAAAAAGGTTGTACAATTGTAATACAGTGCTTGAGAGATGGGTCTTTATCCTATCTAATTTTGCCAGATGGATATAGCACTTTGGATCAGCAGGATAGGGCAGAGCAGGCAATATCTTTATCATATTTTAATTACTCCGATGTCCTGTCATGTGCAACACACTGACCCAGAAATTAACCAGAAAGGCTGGGTTTACACAGAACTGCTTATTAAATGAAAACATAACTGGGTTGTGCTTCAGAGACTTGCATAACCCAGTCACTGATTACAGTTAAAAAGCAGAAACTTTCCCACCTGTTCCCATTTCCACAATTAATCTACAGTTGGGATGGGGCTACCAAAAATGGTTTGGAAAACTGACAATCACTGGATGTATGATAGACAGCAAACTCTTCTCTCTTTTACCATTTAGTGACTATCTTGATTTGGAAGTTTGTTTGCCTTTGTCACCAGAAAGTCATCATGGATGTGATTATATCATTGCAAGTAGCTGAGTCTGACTGCAAGACGATGAAATCTTTTTTGGGCGGGGGGAGTTGTGGGCTTATTCTAGCCTCTCTTCTTCTGGCCTTTAACCCTCTTTATTCATCTGCTTTTAAAGGATAAGCAGAGGGCGTCACTGCCTTGCAATTCTTTGGGGCCGTTGAGTGGGATCCAGGAAATGGGATGCTACTCAGGCGTTGCAACATCCTGCCTGCATTTGCATAAGAGATTAATCTTGATGAGTTTTTATTTTTGCTCAGATGTTTGTGTTTTCTTTCCTTTGCGGGCAGCCTATTGTGCGTAACCTACTGTGATTAACTCACGGTCTCTTGTGCAACCTTCTCAAGGGATTGGGTTAACTCAGGTTCCACTACTGTAATCAAGGTCTTCAGCCAGGGACAATTTAGCACAGCTTGAGTGTCTGGATGACCCACTGACCCGCTAACCCCCAAAGCAGCCACCCTTATATTAACTCAGCCTAGGGCAAAACACACGCGCGCACACTCACTAACACACTCACTCCCTTTATAGCCCAGCGTGTGGTGGCGAACCTAGGGGAAAGAGAATGAGGGGGGGGATGAAAGAGGGGGGGGGATGAAAGAGGGAGGGAGGGAGAGAGGGAAGAGGAGAGCGAATGAGAGAAATGGAGTGGGGGGAGAGAAGGAGAGAGAGCGAGTAAGCGAGCACCGCCTTCTTAGAAGAAGAAGAAGAAGAAGAGCGCGTGGGTGGGGGGAGGGGGTTCGTCTTGCATTAAGTATCGACCTCCCCCTCCCTCAAATTCGCGAGGTCGGAGCAGGAGGCAGCGGCCTTTCCCGGCGCGCCTTGTTTCCTTGGAGCACTCCGCCCCCCCCCCCCCCCCCCCCGCCCCTGCCCGCCTCCTCCTCCTCCTCTTCTCGGAGTCTCAGGGCTGCTGACTCAGCCGGAGGGAAAACTCAAAGGGCGCTCCGCCGCCCGGCTTGCCCGCCTCCCCGGGGATGTTGCCCGGGAGCCCGCTCTGTTCGCAGCTCTTGTCCGAAGCCGCCTGGCTCTGAAGGGGACGCGCGAAGCGGTCGCGGGAGACTTTTCCCGCCAGCGCCGGGGACAAAGCGGAGCGAAGTTGCCCTCGGGTTTTCTCCTCGTCCTCCGCCGGGAACCCCAGTCACCATGACAGCCATAGCAGCGCAGGTAACTTGGGGACAGCGGGGGTGCAGGCCGCGTCCTGAGGGGGCGGAAGGGGCCCTCTTGGGGACCCGGGAACGAGATTTGGGGGGAAGGGGGGGGAAACAGGAGGAGGAAAGTGGGGAGTCCCATCCCTGGAAGCCTTGTGCCGGCCGGTCCTTTGTTCTCCCTGCTACAATGTTCGCTCTTCGCCCTAAAAGACGGAGCGCTTCCTCTGGGTCTGGGCGATCGGCGGATTCACACCTGTTGCTCTTTTGTAAATTTTCTCTGGAAACGCGGAGTAGGTAGGTAGGGGTGGGTGGGGAAAGAGAGTCCTTCCGTCCCCAAATCGTAAATCCCGACCGTTGCATTTTGTTTTGACTTTTACACGGGGCTTCCCTAACCGAGCGCTCCAATAGTGGAAAGTTGAAAATCTTTTATCGTGCGATTTATCCTCTCTTCCCCGCTGGCCCCGAAGTTGACTTTTAAATCTGCCTTTCGAGATTTACTACCGCCCAGGGATGATAAATCTCTCTCTCTCTCTCTCTCTCTCTCATGGGTTGCATGGCTTGGGGAGAAGGGGTGGGGATGAGACACGATTGAAGATGGGGCTTGAAGTAAAAGAGTGCCGGTGCTCGCTGGCTCGCTCTGGTTCCGCACATGGTTCAAACTGGCCATCCCATCAGCTGGGCGACTCTCCCAAAAGTGAACCGAATGAGATTTTTATTTTTTTTAAAGATGGGTGTGATGGGAGAAGCTGGCAAAAGAAAGACTAAATTTCACAAAAAAGAAAGCAGATCTGCTTGGAAGAAAATCTTCCTGGAAAAAAGACACACACACACACACACACACACACACACACACACACACACACAGAGCTGTTGTTTAAGGGTCCATTCTTAACCACCCCCTCCTAGACCCAGGGCAGAACAATTAAGGCAAACAAAAGTAGGCATCCTCTCTTTCAAGATGGAAGGTCATGTGGTTTAGAAAGAAGCCTTTACACAGCCTGCCCTATGCTTCCCAGGGCTTACAACATACATTAAGACAAGACAGATGCAGCATGGGGGGGCTGGAGGGAGGTGGGAAACCACAGAATCACAGATGCCATCAACCTATATGCATCAGCCTGATAATATTCTGAGGGGGGTTCAAATAAAGCAAATGCAAATCCAGCTAGTGGGGTGAGGAGAAGCATACTGTGTGCAAAGTGAAATATTTCCAACACAACAGAAGGTTGGAAAGAAATTTTGTAGGAGGATTCAGGACCCTCTGCTCATCCAGAGGATATCTGTCCAAATATTGAACAGACTTAGACTACATCTAAGAGGGGAAGCCAATAAAAGGTGGAGTTTGAAAATGGGCCAGAGTTGGCCAAAGACTGTAAAGAAAAATATTTCAGGGGAGGAAAAAAACTGCCTGTGCATCTCTGGGTATTTTCAAAGATTGCAGTTAACTATTGCCTTCTAAGCCGTTTTTCCTTTTTGCAGTTTTTCCTTTCCTCCTGGTCATGTGAGCAGAGTATCAGCACACCCCCACACACACACACACACACACAGGAAGACATTACACAAACACAGACAAGAGGTAAGAAAGAAATCACATTAACCCAGAGAGATGGAACATGTTATGTTCTTCATTACACAGAAGCAAGTACAGATGCCTCCTCTAGCTATTGTTGATAAGGAGCTTGGAACAAATTAAATAAGTTATGCTCCATATTCTTTATTTTTTTTAAGGGTGGGGGCATCCAAGATCCAAAGTAGCTCAACTTGCTCAATTTCCTTCTTTTTTTTCTTAGAATGCAATGAGTTGTTTACAAGGATCAGCAAATCTGTCTCTTACTGGCATGTTGTTACTGATGTTTCAGCAAAACTAGCTCATACACAGTTTGTACAAGAGTGATTTTCAAAACAAAGTGCACCACGGGAATGACAATTACCAGAAACGGAAATCTGAGGGAATAGTTCTTCATCAATATTTTTAGAGCTAAATTTCTCAGAAATGGGACAGTGCTGATTGACTTGAGATATGTTTCTCTAATCATCTTTAGCACTTGTGTATATTAGAATTTTCAATACCTCTCAATCAGGGGTGTCAAACTCGCAGCCCACGAGCCAGATGCATCATGCACTGGCCCCATTTCCACTCCTGGTTTAGCAAAGAGGGGGAAAGTTGCGATACCTCACGTGACAACGACGTGACGATGTGAGTTTGGCACCCCTGCCTTAAATGCAAGGATAATAAATCATTAGTCCTCCAAATATTGCTGGCCCAAACATTCCTCATAATTGACCATGATGATTGGAAATTGGGGAAGTTTTAATTGAGCAATATCTGGAGAGCTACTGACTACCAATTCTGCTATAGTGTACTGCTTCTTATATTTTGTCCAAAGTGAAATGCACAATCTCTCATCTCTTTTTCTTATTTTTTTGACAACATTTATATGTATTAAAAAAATTCTTCCCTTCTGTGCAAAGTTTGGCCATTGCTTGCCAAATACTGCTGCTCGTTTCTCTTGGTCTTCTGTTATCTTTTTTTCATCCACCTAAGTCTATCAGATATTTAGCTCAGTTAAGGTTTAGAATCTGTTTGGTATCTTCTCCTCAGCCCATGTTCACATGACATGTTTAACTGGGTCAAAGAGGGTATTAGGTGGTCATGTGAACACCATAGCCCTGTGAAATAAACCTCAGTCAATGTTAATGCCAAGAAGAGAGAATTAATTTTAGCTGGAAATAAGTCCCAAGTTGTTCAAAGCTAAACCCCTGCTTAGCTATCTGAAGAAGGTAAGGGAAAAAAAGCAGAGGAGGAGGAGAAGAAAAGTAATTCCCCACAAATTTGTTAGGTGATCATTCACTTAAAAAAAAAAAAAGATAGCTGGATGACTTCAGAAATGCCCGCCACGAGAGCATCCTTGATCCAGTGGTGCTTGATGTGGAATGAATTGATTGCCTACTGAGCAGCTGACACAGAAGTGTCACCCATATAGATCTTGCAAAGATTCCTTATCCTTGTCAAGCCTTCTATTGCTTCATGTCTCCAGGCTGATAATTCCAGCACATCTCTTTGTGTCACCATTACTCTCTAGAACTCTTATCGATCCTGGACTTCTTGAAATGTAATTCTCCCATGAGGTCCCTGATGCCAGAAACTATTTTTTTTTTTTTAGAAAAAAACCCTTTTCCTCAAACTCACCTCTCCTGGAAAGCCTTGAGATCTTTCTTTTTCTCCCTCAATACTGTTATGTCATGAGCAAAACCGCAGGACCTGGGGCGGGGTGCCTATTCTTTCCTTTTCTATTCTGCTTTCTTCTTTTGTGGGAGGAGGGTTGTTCCCTGGCCTGCCTTTTAGACTACAGTCCTTTGGCATCAAGGTGTTTCCAGCCTGTTGCTTGTAAAAATATAAAGAATACAGGTAGTCCTCGATGTACAACCATTTCGTTAGTGACCGTTCAAAGTTACAATGGTACTGAAAAAAAGTGACTTACAGCCATTTTTCACACTTACAAGCATTGCAGCATCCCCATGGTCATGTGATCAAAATACAGATGCTTGGCAAATGGCAGATATTAGGATTGAATTGTCCTGGGGTCGGGGGGGTGGTATGCTACCGGTTTGGCCTGGTTAGACCGACCCGGTAGCAATTTGCCAAATCATAGTACAAAAAAGCCTCGGACAATCAGCTGAGAGGAGAAAGAAGGGAAAAGCACAGGATTGGCCCTCTCAACCATCCTGTCTCAGCTGGTATGTGGAAAGCTGCACACTTGCATTAGGTGCACACTCGTGCGCGTGCACAATCACCAAACCTGTAGTGGAACAGGTAGGATCCCACTGCTGTCTGGGGTCACGTGATCACCTTTTGTGACCTCCTGACTAGCAAAGTCAACAGGAAGCAAAATTCATTTCACAACCATGCTACTAACATGCAGGGATTCATGTAACAATGGTGGCAAGAAAGGACATCAAATGAAAAACCAATGTCTGTCTTGCTTAGCCATGGAAATTTGGGGCTTGATTGTGGTCGTAAGTCGAGGACTACCTACACAACAAAACGAGTATGGTATTACGCAGATGAGGTAAAGCAACAATGGCTATGGTTTCGTGCTTTATATTTGTCCCTTATGGTTAACTACTTTTTAATGCCCGATAAATATCAAGAGCTAGCACTGCATCGTGGTCATAGTATTGGACCAGAACTAAGGAAGCCCAGGTTCTGCTATTTTCTAGCCAAAGAAACCTATTGGGTGATTCTGCATCTGCCACTGTCTCTCAGCTCAACCTACCTCACAAAGTAACTCTGATGGGTTAAAAATGAAGACAGTCCTACTGTAAGTGAAATATACCATATTTTTTGGACTATCAGACAGACTCCCCCCCAAAAAGTGGGTGGAAATGTCTGTGCATCTCATAGAGCGAATATGGGCCCATTTTTGGCCTCCACAGATCCCGTTTTTGCCCTCCTCGGCATCCAGAAGCACTCTGCAGGCCCTGGGAAGGACAAAAATGGGACTTGTGGAGGCCTCCGGAGGCCAAAAGTGGGCAGATTTTTGGCCTGCAGAGTGCTTCTGGACACTGGGGAGGGCAAAAACGCAATGCACAGTGGCCAAAAACCTTTTTTTTCTTGTTTTCCTCCTCTAAACCTAGGTGTGCCTTATGGTCCCATGCATCTTATAGTCCAAAAAATACGGTACATAGTTAGAGGACACCCAGTTGGTTGCCCTTGTTGTGCATACATAAGATAGTCAAAACGAGCTCTTTCTGGGAATCCGGAATATGCTAAGGTTATTTCCCCCGAGAGGTGAAAGTAGAACCTTGATATTGTTATGATGAGGAAAGATACAGTAAAGGCAAAACATGTCCAATCCTGCAGCATTATTTCCTGTTGTTCCCTTTTTAGCGGGGGAGGGAAGCAGCACATGGACAAAGTGAGTTCTAGTGTACCAACTCTCTTCTTCCCGGTTTTGCCTCCATTCCATTATTCTTCCTCAAGGATGTAGGGGGTGTCCTACATGGGCCAGGCAGATTAAGTCTGTGGGAGTCGAGCTAGAATGTTTGCTTGGGATATTTGTAGCACAGTCTTAAGCCAAATAGTGCAATCTAGTTAATCAGAAATGCTTAGGTAAATAAATCTGTGCTATTCATAGAAATTTTAAAAGCCTATTTTGTAATGGGGTGGGGGGGATTTCCTGTGAATGTCAAGAATCCATCTCAACTCTTATTTGCAAAATGCATGCTGCTAGCTACATCCGCTGGTATTAATATCTGTATCTTGAGACTTCTTTGAATAGTTTGCCAGTCAGGATGTGTGTACAAAAATTTCAAAGAAGGAGCTACTGTTTTGGTTTCATTTCCTTGGGAATGACAAATTACGGATAATGTTCTTTATTTCCAAATATTACATTTCCATAGAAAAACTAACGGAACATTTACTAGGGTTTTTTATTTTATAGGATTCATGAAATACATCCATATTGTTTATTATGCATTCTTCCCAGGGCACTTTCGGATCAATTGTGTATAAATGGTCACTAAAGTATATTTAATTTGACTTCACTTGATGGTATTAATTGGCCTGCTAAAAGTCATGGTTTGATATTGTTTAAAAGAGATCCAGTATGGTAACATTATACAACCCTCAGTCTGTTTTCAGAAACTTTGCAGGTGAGCAGTTTAGATCTTCCACTAAGAACAGCCTGCCCTGCCACCCTAAGGCAGGGGTCTCCAACCTTGGCAACTTTAAGACTTGTGGACTTCAACTCCCAGAATTCTTCAGCCAACTTTGCTGGCTGAGAAATTCTGGGAGTTGAAGTCCACAAGTCTTAAAGTTGCCAAGGTTGGAGACCCCTGCCCTAAGGGACAGAGAGAGAGAATAGCAGAAAAATAAAGAATTTGAAAAGGAGACATCAGAAAGACAATATGCGTGAGGGGTCCTCGGTGCTCTTTGACCTTTGTTGTCTTCTTGCAGTGTTTCATTACCCAAACTAGGTCACATAATTAGTGCATTGTAATGTTACAGGGGCGAAATTGGGAGAGATGAGGGGAGACAATACTTTTCCTCCTCCTGCCAGAGATTCTCCTCACCCCCTCCCCTCTCTGGTCGAGTGGTGTTTGCCATTTGCCACCTAGCATAAAACCTTTGCTCCCCCCACCAAAAAAAAAAGCGTCAGAGAGAGATGAGAGAGAGAGAGAGAGAAATGAGAGAGGAGAAAGAGAGAGATGAGATGAAAGAGGCCAAGTAATGTTGACTTGGCCACGCCCACCCACCCAGTCACATGACCACCAAGCCACACCCACAGAGCTGGTAGGAAAAAAAATGCATTTCACCCCTGTAATGTTACCTAGTTTGGGTAATGAAACATCTGCAAGAAAACAAACAAGCACAGAGAGCACCACAGATCCCTCATTCCAACTCTGAGATACATATATTCTTCTTTATTGATAGGATATGCATGGCCTGACTCCCTTTGGGGTTTGGCTGCACAGCTACTGTCTGTCTTGGTTCCAGCCACCACAGGCCCTGTGACTTTGAAAAGATAATCCTGGCTAGGGATAGGATCTGACCGATATAACTACTGGTTCTGTTGCACAAGTCACCCGAGTGCAATTTACGACCTGCTGAGCTGCCCGGACAGCTGAGCAGTGCTGTGTGCGGGTGCACAGTGGTTGGGAAAGCCCTTTTTTCCTGCTTTTTCAACTGCAGCTGTGCCACACAAAGCAGCTGTGGTTGAAAAAACAAGAAATAAAGGACAGGTAAGAGCCTGGGTGGGTGGGTGGGCCAAAACAGTAGCAGACACAGAACCGGTTCTGTGTCTGCTGCTCTTCAGAGCTACCGGTTCTGTAGAGCCGGACAGAACTGGTAGAATCCCACCCCTGATCCTGGGACGACATAGCTCTTAACAAAAACCAGTCTGTTTCACCTGAATTAAAGCTATGTTTCTTTTTTTTTCTTTTTCCTGTTCCTTCTTTGGGAATTTCTCCTGAAGACCCAGTGGTTACTTGCACGTAGAAGACCGAAGAAATCATTCTTTGAGACCTTTATCAGGAGCTTAATTATCCTCTGTGTTGCAATTGCCATTGTTCTGTTGTCCATTGCGGTATGTGATGGCCATTGGCTTTTTACAAAAGGAAAACTCTTTGGTCTTTGGCATTTCTGTACCCTTGGAAGCAACAGCACCTTGAAATGCACCACTGATCTCTCTGTGACCAACATCAGAGGGATAAGCATAGGAATGACTTTTATTAGAAGTATGGTGTCCTTTGCCGTTGTTCTTGCCATCTTTGGCCTGGAACTTCTCATGATCTCTCAAGTCTGCGAAGACATCAACTCAAGGAGAAAATGGTCCATGGGCTCAGTCCTCATTCTTGTCTCATTTCTACTGTCATCGGCTGGAATGGTGAGCTTCTTAATCCTTCTGAGAGACTACATCACGATCACAAGTTTTACGTTAACCTACTGGTGTGAATTTATTGCAACGTTCCTTTTCTTCCTTAATGGAATCAGTGGACTTCACCTTAACAACCTAACTTTTCCATGGAACAGAGTGAGAAAAAATTAAACACAATGAACCAAATATCCTGAGAATATATTGCGGCTCATTAACATTCAAGAAAGACAACAAGAGGGTTGTTTTTGAGGAGAATTGTTTAGTTTGATTTTTTGTTGGAGCATAAGGTAAAGGATTTCCAACAACTTGCTACTTTCTAGATGATGTCTCCAAATTAAGTTGATAATGGATGCTAAGTACTGGAAATGGGAAATTATAACCTGTTGGGACTTTAAATAATGCATCTAACCATAGTAATGGAATAGCAAAAAGTAACTTGCTTACTTTAAAACTCAGTTCATAAGCCTCAACATCCTTAATCCAGTTACAATCATTATCTTTTAAGTGTCTCACTGAAATGAATAACACAACCAATCACATTACTTTTCTTTGAGTTGGGTGGGAACCAAATTCCATAAACCAAGTAGAATATGTCTTACTTAATATGTGCTGTGTGGATGGGTTTTGTGCATTTTCATGATTGTGTTCTTCATATCAATAAATTGTATCACCAGAAATATTTGTACTATGCAGGACATAGGGCAGTACCAGCTAGAACTTCTAATAAACACAAATAATTTGCTTTTTCACATTGTCATATATAAACCACGGTTAAAATTTAGGCTTTTATCATATATTCTTTGGCAAATATGTGATTTATAAACCAGGCCAGTACTGTGTGCATTTTCTACCAAAGTAAGAACCTTTATTGATGAGAAGCAAGCGAGCCAACCAATATCTTTTAAAAAGAGGCCTGTGCTATTACAATTTAATGAATGATAGTAGAGAGTCTGCATTTTCCTGAGAGCTAGAAATAATTTTTCATAGAGACAACTAAACTCTGTGTATTTCTAACCAGAGAGTTTGTAACACAAAATGCCCAGTTCAATTTACATCCTGCTTTTCAAAATTACAGAAAAATAAGTTTTTATCCTTCTAAAAAGTACATTCTTAGCTAAGAATATAGGGTCACCCCATTATCATAGAAAGCATTTACTTGCACATACATAGTGGTAAAAGTGGAAGGAGGCTCCTATACTCCTATAGCTTATAATATGATTTCAATCCTAAGACTTCCCTATGGTATGAATAAAATAAATGGTAAATCAGATTTGGTATAAGTTTAGAGCATTAATTCTCTCTTGTTCAGTAATAACTTGGTGTCCTTTGTGTTTATTTCACAATATTTTACTGCAACAATAAGTTTCATAAACTCGGGACAGTTGATACCATTTTTAAAATTGTAAATGTTTGACCTTGTGAACTTTCTACTTCTAAATATCCTACATTATTAATCCAAATTGTTCAACAACAACAAAAGTCAGTAGCCTAAGAAATGCACAGATAAGATGTCAAATTGCCTATGGAAACACTGTACTGAACCATCATTTTTGAGAGAACAAGTGGTGATATTTCAATAAAGCTGCATGCTTAATTGAATTCTAGGTTGTCTAATCCTTATTTATATTTGTGTCTTTACAGCTAACTGTAAGACTATTTAGGAATGCCCTAATTATTCTACTAAGTTTTTTTAAAAATCTTTGTAGAAGTTTCCAGGCCATTTACTTGAAAATAAAGAGCCGGTATACTGGTAGTCTAGACAAGCTTTCGCAAATCTGGTGGGGTCATCTTAAATGCCTAACCCCAACCAATATTGCATAGACTGCTTTGGGCAATGGGAGTTGTAGTGCAATATATTAAAAAGGACCCCAAGTAGAAAAAGTGCTTAATAATTAACTAGGTAGGCTATGATAGAATCAATAGATTCACAATCCATCATATACTTTTATATCTTTACCATGACCAAAAAAAGATACTTCCATTCATTGTCCTTAGGAAGATCTTGGTGTGTCATTCAATTTGCATTTTTATTATTACCTCTTAAGGTTTTGCACAGTTGAAGAACACAATACATTATACAGTGAAATATCTCCAGATCTTTCTCAGGGTGAGGGATGACCTGCAATTAGCAAATCATATCTATAAATCAAATTGTATGAACTTGAAGAAAGATAGATTTCCTTGATTGGAATTTCGAAGTTTTCATGTTGAGAATGTTTTGTAAAATCTGTAGTATTTCCCCCCAGTTTAGGGTATTAATTCTCTATTACTGCCTATCTAGAAGTCCATTACCTTACTGATTTCCCAGCTATCTGGTGAAGAAGTTTGAAATCTTATTGAAAAAAAAGAATGTGCTAAAGAACTGAACCCAAATCTCTGTGGACGTATCAAAATGGCTGGCCTTTACTACAACAAATGTGGAATTCTTCCAGATTTCTTGCATGATATACTGCCAGTGTCTGTCTTTGCTATTGTATTGTTTAATTTTTTGCATAGATTATCCCAACTTTTGCCTGGAATTTCAGCTCATGTTCAGAAGGTGGAACATTCTCTTCTCATGGGCTAAATGAATGAACATCATCTTTGCTTTTCAAAAATGATGGTTCTGATTAAATTAGGCCTTCAAAACTATCTAGCTGCAGTACATTAGAGATCAGTTTTGAGCTAATGCTCTAAAAGAGTTGTAAACATTAATTACTGTTGACTCTTTTTTTATTCCATTAAAGGCCATTTGCCAGTAAACGCCAGAGAATGTTTGTTTTGGATGATCTTTATTGTTAACAATTGTTTCACTAAGTAAGTTATAACATGTAAGCTTTTCTAAACTTTAATAATTATTGTTTTACTAAGTAAGTTGTAACATTGTGGGCTTTTCTAAACTCTTTTCTACAAACTATAAAAGGAAATTGGAAGATGACTAGGATCAGAATGTCAAATGTTCAATAAATTACTTTTTTGAATGGATAATTCTAGTCACTTTTAAGTGTCACAGCTGGGAGACTTACAGCAAATGCATGTGATTATATATGCACACATATACCTGTACATTCCAGTATTTGCACTAAATGATGAAATGAGAAAAGGAACTGGAAAAGATTCTCACAGAAATCAGAATTTGATCTTTTAAAAACTTTGCAAAATAGGTTTAAACTGATAATGTATTTGCTGCAAAAACCTACCAAAATTGAAAAGGGGAGGTAACTTAAGAATTTGAAAGAGAGATTCATTAGATAATGTGCAGAAATGAGATGCAATATGTTTGGTCATTAGACAATTAGGATTAAAACACTCCCGAATGTATTTATCCAAAGTGTGACCTGACTTCTCTAAACCTAGAATGACTAGATGATTTTTTAGAAGTAAAGCTAAGAGTATAGAAACAACTGCCATATTTTACTGCTTTCAGCTTTTCATGATACGTAGTTGTTGAATGGATGATCCCACAAGCAGGGGCTGACCTTTAGAAAACAATAGTGATCCAAGTATACCACATGGTGGGCATACATACCTTCTAGGGATAAATAATTGCTGGAGGATGCTGACTTTCTTATTCATGCCTCATAGAAATTCAACATTTCTGAAGGGGATGAAGTTGAGGAAGGTTGGAGTAAGATGTGTAATCCATGGATCAAATCCAACCAGGAAATACTTTTTAGACAGTCATTATTTAGCTTGAGCTGGTAAATAATAATAATTCACTCAGTACAGATGGTCCTCAATTTAGAACCACATTAGGGACCAGAAAAGTGATGCACTTATTAAGTGAGGTACCACGTGACTACATCCAATTTCACATCTTTTTGCCATGTCCGTTAAGCGAAATATTACATGATTGCGATTTGGGATCTTCCCTGCCAGATTCCCCACTCATTTTGTTGGAATTCAGCTGGGAAGGTTGCAAGCATCAGTCACACGACCCGAAAATGCTGCAATTGTTGTAAATGTAAGCCAGTTGTCAAATGCTTGAATTGCGATCGTGGGAACAGTGACGATTGTAACGGTGACGACTGATTGTGAGTCACTTTTTTCAGTGCGGTCATAACTTCAAACCAATGGTCGTAAGTCAAAGGTAGCTTCAAAATGATTGTGGTAAGCAATACAGACATGTCAAAAATAACTTATGGAATATTGGTATTAATGGGTATTATTTAGCTCTCTCAGACATTTTTTCTCCAGCAAGTGTACATATTAAGTATGCCTGTTTATATGCACATTCACAAAAAGTGGGGTAGGTGGGGTGGAGAGAAAGAGCACACAGGATGGAAGCATAGTCAGAACTAAATTGACGTAGATAATGCTTCTTACCATTAGTGTAAGGTTTGATGCAAGACAAAGCTTAAGAATGACAAGGTTGAATTAAGAAAAAAAAAACCCAATTTTAATTACTCCAATAACTGTATTATGATCAGGACGGAGAACCAACTAAACATGCTGGCAAGATATGTGACAGCCCTTCCCCTTTCCTATCTTGGAGTCTGTTTATAGATCTCCCACCTGGGGCTAACAAACAGGTTGCTTTACTTTGAATTTCTGTTCAGGTATCCAAGTATGCCAACATAAGTTTCTAACAACAAAACAACTGTACATGGCATTCCCAGATAATGGTTGATATTAACAGAGCCTAAAGCCACTAATGATCTTGCAACAAAGGCACCAAAGATAGGGGCATCATAAAGATCCGGTGACACAAGAACAGAGAGCCAGAGGCCACTCGGGGAGATAAATTTATTTCCCGCCTTTATTATTTCTATAAATATCTTAAGATGATGAACCCACACAATATTCCTTCTTCTTATTTTCTTTACAACCACCACCCTGTGAAAAAGGTTAGGCTGAGAGAGGGAGTGTGTAACTGCTCAAAGTCATCAAGCTGGCCTTCGTGCTTTAAGAATGGATGGATGGGTGGGTGGGTGGATAGATGAATGAATGAACGAATGAACGAATGAATGAATGAATGAATGAAGCAGCCACCTCAATGGGATGGTTCTCAAACTTAGCAGCACCCTAAAATGACTAATTTGTGTGATGTCCCCCATGAATAAAACTTAATTATTTCATTGGCGTCACCAGGGTTAATTATACAGTATATAATTTGAGATATAAGGCTACAAAACACAGTTATGCTTGGTATATATAGCAATTCTCCATTGAGAGCTCGTGCAGGTAATTGGAGGAGAAAAGTTCAGAATCGGTTTTGACAGTGTTCTCCTATACAAACTTTTTTTTTTTTTAAAAAAAGTGTTCCCCTCTCTTCTAAATTACTTGAAATCCTCAGTGGAGAGTCTTAGGTCACAGTTGTCGGAGCTATTGACATTACACTTTGGCATTAACCTACGGGAGAATGGGGGTTGATTTATTTTTATGCTTTTATTGAGTGAAACCCCATGAAAGGCAAGCATACACAAGGGAATTAGTTCTCCCACCCCCCAGCATATGCAAGAGCAGGGGATTGGATTAAATGATCCCCAGACATTGTGGGCTATAATCAGGGCATCTTAATGATAAAACTGTTCAGCAATGGATCAGCGAGCTTAGACAGAATTTCTCTGCTTACTCTAAATTTTTCATCTGTTCTCCACCATAACATGATAAAAATCTATACTGACAGTTTTCAGCTTAAACTGTTCACACATTATATGTGTGAACTCAACCATAGAAAACCAAAATGGGCAGAATATAGCTGTAAGCTTTGTGTGAGATGTCTAAATGTTCTAGGGACATCCAAGGATCTTGAACAATAACTCCCACCACTTTGTACCTACTTGGCTTGAGGTAATAATCTAACACACCCAGAGGCCAGGGCAAACTGGTTTAGTGGGGAAGAGAGTCCGCAAAAGTCATTGTTGGATCTGGATACCCTCAAAAAATAAAGTTGTGGAGGGGTTGTTTTGCATCATATGACCCAGAAATATTATAATTGTGACTACTATTAAATACAACAGTACTTTCACTGAAGATACACTTGGCACAGGTAGCGGGTAAACTGGAATCAAATTCAATAATATGAAAACACATGCTTAACTTTCACAATAAGATGATTCCCCAAAGCCACTCAATTGCTCTTACCACAGAACAATATTGGTAACTGTCAATTCAAGCCACAGCCAATATCAATATTCACGGATGCAATTCATCACAGCAAGCAAAAGCCTGACATGAACACCTGCACTAGTTTGAACATTGTCTAACCCATGTAAAATAGCTAGAGCTTTGGCAAGTTTGCAGTACCTGTCTATTTTTTGTGAAAAATTCTTCCTTGGAGAAAAGAGTTTTTCACAAAACAAAACAAAAAAACAAAAAAACCAGGCACTGCAAATGCCACTGATGTGCTGATTATTACAAGGTTTTAAGTAGCTAAGAGAGCACTCTTGAAACAGCTTGATAAGATCATCATAAGATAGGATATAATGAGAAACAGTCCATGGAAGGCAGGAACCCTCCAAATCAGTCCCAAAGGTGCTTTTTCGGGAGGCAACTGGATTTTTCCTTTTTTTTCTTTGAAGGCGTTTCACTTCTTGGATCAAAGAGAAACAAGAAAAGTCCAGTTGTCTCCTGAAAAAATCACCTTTGGAACAACCATGACCTGAATGACTGAGAATCTCCATAGAGCTCCAAATCAGTGTTTTGCAATCTTAGCAGTTTGATGGTGTGTGAACCAACTCAGAATTTTTGGCTCGCTGCGGGATTCTTAGTATTGAAGTCCATACATCTTCAAGTGGTCAAGGTTGAAAAAGACTCTCCAGACCTTCCTAGATTCTATCTATTATCAGTTCAAGTCAGCATGGCTAATATTAGGTCAGAGATGCTGGAAAATCTAGTACCACAGAACTGGGAAGAGGCATAGATACATAAAGCCACATTAACACTTGTCCAGTAAAGAATTTTGTTCTGTTCTGTGGTAGTTAAAATATCAGGTTAGAAGCTGGGAGACTGAGTCCTGCCTTAGGCATAAAACAGCTGGGAAACCTTGAGCCATTTTCTCTCTCTTAGCCCCAGAAAGGACAAACCAGTTCCAAAATCTTGCCAAGAAAATTGCAGGAACTTGTCCAGGCATCACCAGGCATCAACACTAGTTGAAGGCACATACACAGACAGGTAGGTATATGCCTGGCACCTCCCAAATTCACTGGAGCTTTGTCAAAGCAATCTCTTGAATTAGGCTCAGAATACAAGAAGAAATCATGTCAGAAGAATGGGCATCTTTCTAATCCACCTTCTGACTTAGACGGATTGAAGATACACAGCAATCTCTCACAGAGTGAATTGCTTTTAGCTAGCTTCCAGGTGGCAGCCCCAAGTCCCACAGAGCCACAATCAGCTCTCAAGACGAAGTTGTAAAGGCCTTTGTGGTAACTGAATTTCCAAAGCTCCTAAACAGCAAACTCAAATGTCCGTATACGATGCCTAGCAAAATTCCTCGATCCATTGTGGGCATGGGTTTGATACCAAAGGGATATCTTTTCTCTCTGCTCAAAAAAACGTACCCTTTTATCATGTTCACACAATGCAACATTTTCAAAAGAGATATAACCAGTTTATAAGTCGGAGCCATTTATAAAACGGCAATGTTGTTCAGAATCCTCACTCCAGTAAGAAACCAAACAGAGAAGAGAGGATAGACACTTTTGAAATGATCGATTCCAAAGAACAAAACCAGCAAGTTGAGAGGGATGAGCCTTCCATTTGGAAATTGCTTTTCACACATCATCTTTCCAAAATGATCTACATGTTGGCAAGGTAAGGCCCATAGCCTAAATCAGTCTCCAGGTAGAGCTAACAACTAGCTTTTAAGTCCTGAACTACAATGCCCGATTAGGTAATGCAAGTTTCTTGTTTCCTCTGAGTTATTAGCATGTTCTTGTCTGCCCTGGAAACTTTTACAGTTTACTCAGAATCGGGTGAGATGGTTGCCTTTCCTCCTGAGGTCCAGGCTTTGTCAGCTGCAAGACTTGAGTGAGCCCGCTTACTTCATTTGGAAACAAAGAGCTGTGCTGTTTATGAGCACCAAGATGCTTCCTTAAATGCCACTGCCACCATTTTCTCTGAAGCTCCTGCCGGACCTGAACAAAAAAAAATTTCTGTTTAGTAAGAAGTCTCATGATTTTCTTAAGAGAAAGAGGATGCCCTTCTCTCCCTGTCCATCATAGGGGCTCAACCTTTGCAGCCAATAACAAGGATAAATCAGTCTCAAGCAATATCCTGCCCTGAAGGTTATGTGGTCAACCACTACTTGCCTGCAGAGGAAAGAAGCAAAGCCAAAATGTGGGCAGATTGTAGTCAATTGTAGTCTTGTGGATATGCAAGTAGAAAAGGGGAAAGGAAGGTTGGAAAGGCCAATAAAGGGACA